GCCCCGAGCATGGCTTTAAGTAACCACGGCCCTCCAGAGCAATTTAGTTAAATAGCCCCGCTTTAGAAGTTAACCAGTTTAAGAGGTTGGTCACAGCTATGTGATGTTCAGAGGTGACGGAGGCAGAAACAGGTAATTACATTATTATTACCCACCTTCTCTGCAGAAGGCTATAATTATTTTTTTAATGTAAGAGAATAAATTAAGCAGCTAAACAGATTTTCAGAACTCCAATGCTGCGTTCACACCGAATGCGTTTTCAGCATCAAAAACCTTGTGCACTTTGAGGTCAGACGCAGGTCAGGAAGAGCCTCTTGGTTGTTTTCCTCATCCGGTTTCTGTACGATGGCAGATGAAATTAAGAAAGTGACTTTGCTTTATTTACTGAGAGCAACAGAACGTCACGCTCAATTACAGAAAATTCAGAGCTCTGAGTTTGGGGAGTCTCACCGCTCCAGGAGCTGCGAGCTGATGAGGCTCGCTTACAGAACTATTTTTGTCCCAAACAGTTCGATGAGCCGCTGACCCGCATCAGTCCTGCATCTCCTGCCAGGACATCAACTACAGGCGCCTGTCCATCTGTCTCAGGTTAGTGGACATCATTCAGGATAATGCTCCGATCATTGACATCATTTTTTCTTCTGTACATTTTTCGGCATCTAACTCATTCCACAATTTTTGTGCTATTTCAACAATTCGTACATGAAAACGTTCAGCTCATTTATGACAATCCTGCTATGACTTTTGGTATTTCAGCTATTTATACTTTTTCAGCTATTTCACTTTTTCGGCCACTTTTTGCCCATTGAAAATGAATGGAGCTGTTTTCATCATCCTTAAAACCCTCCAACATATTTCTGAATCTTTACAGCACCTCACACATTTTGTTCTGGTTCTGCTCTTTTTCATTTTCTTGTGCTAATTTTAGCTGTTTTTTCTACTATTTCAGCTCAAATTCTACTTCTTTCTGCTATTCTTCTGATGTTTTGTGATTTTTCTGCTAATCTGTGCTATGTATGCTTCTTATTAGAGATGTTTTCAGCTCTATTCAGCTATTTTAGCTTTGAGCTTTTAGCTGTTTTCTGTTTTCAACTATATTTGTGCTAATTTTTACTCTTTTTCTGCAAAGTTAGGCTTTTTATTTAATCTTTTCAAAGTGAGCTCACATTAACAATCTTGCTATTAAATTAAATATTTTCAGCTGAATTTCAGCAGCTTTCAGCTGAAGTTTTCAGCATGAAGCATTCACACTAGCATTTTCACAGGAAATGCAATTTCTCCAGTTTTATCTTGTATTTATTTTTATGTTTGCTCTATATGCCTCTTTTAATTGCCCCTCTGGAGATAAAGTTTTCTGATTGATTGATTGATTGATTGATTGATTGATTGATTGATTGATTGATTGATTGATTGATTGATTGATTGATTGATTGATTGATTGATACGTCACATAGAAACATCTCTTCAGATGTTCCATCTCCAGCAATTGACACTTCGGATGTGTGTCATACATGCAGAATGAACTTTATATAGTTCTTTATTGAAGAGGGAGGCAACAGTTTCAACTGTTCATAATCGACAATCAACACTTAAAATGTRAATCCATTCATAAAAAAGAACAAATGACTTCATTGTTATTATATAACAGGAAGGCAAGTTCTTAAGACAAATTCAGTTTGATGCTTGATAACTTTTGGTCATAAAGGATTTGTGATGACATTTTGATCTATTTTGAAGTTATATTTTGTTACTATAATGACAGACTGTTACAGTTTGATACAAGGACAAAACTGCTGATGTTAAAAGAAAAACGTTTGGTTATAAAATGGCTACAAATCATTCCTTATAACAAAAAATAAAAATATGTTCGTCTAAATATACAGAATGTAGGAACAAACAAGTATTGAACACGTCACCATTTTTCT